CCACACCTTCTACCATGATGTTTTTGCCTGGGAGCCAGCTGACTATGGACTGAATCCTCTGAAACTGTGAGCCAAATAAACTTCTCCTTTACATTACAGATGTCAGGTATTTTGTCCAGCAATGGAAAGGCTAAGGCACTCCCTTTTTGTTACCTCCTTTGTCCATAAAAATTAGTCTTTGAGGCATTTCTATGACTTGTACCTATTTCTATTTTTAATTTTTTTCCCCAGTACCAAGTATCAAACTCAGGACCTTTTGCTTGCAAGGCAGGCATGGTGCCACTGAGCTAAATCCTTGGCCCTGGTTTTTGGGTTTTTGCCAGGGTCTCACTGTGTAGTCCAGGCTCACCTCAAGATCACTGTGTAGTCTAGTGGCGAAGCCTAACCGACCTCCAATGCTGCTTGACAAAGTTCCAGCTGGGGGAAAGAAAGGGTGGAACACATCATACCCTCATGTTTTATTTTTTCTTGCCATAATGTTTATAATTGTTACTCTGATCACAGGAGTCATTGTGTTTGTGACTAACAACAAACTCTCCATGAGGCAAATTGGTAATGATATATTGAAATCTGATCTGGCTCACAAGTCCCAAATTCCAGTTTCTCTTAGTTCTGTTGCCACATCCACTCCTAAAGAAACCTCTCCTAAAACCCGCTCTGTTTCCCCCACTACTATGACTCCCCCTCTTATTGCTGACATTCTTTTTACTAAAGGGGTCTTACGAAGAGATTGAAAGGACAGACTTTAGATGTAAGAAATAGTGGAAGATGGGAAAAAGAAAGTTAAGACAGGTAAATGCATTAAGGAGGCAAGTTACTCAATATTTCTCAAAGTGCTGTAAATATCTCCTGCTCATAGACTATGAACCCAAGTGACATTTAGTTAAGATGAATAGAGGTATAGAAAAATAGAGAGCTAATAGCAAACTATATTAACCATTGTGCAGTTTCTCAAGGGCCAGCTGGTGACCCCAAGTTTGACACTTAGTTGATTAAACCTTGCTTGTACCCCAGCTGATATAAAGATTCTGATTAAGTTACTTTCTGTTCTGTTTAGGTGTGGGTAAATAAGGGGACAATTGTAATTTTTAAATATGTATTCATGATGTTCAATGAAATGAAACAGCTTAGAGAAATTGTACTTTGTTTAGCAAAAAATAACCTTTACTTCAATAGAAATTGCTAAGGCAACTTAAAATGTAAACATGTTCTGCCCAATGCCTCCCAGCTATTGCTTAAAGATATAAAAATAAATCAGACCCTGAGACTTCTCAGAGGGAACCTGAACATTGATTGTGAAGGTTCTTTTCTCATCGCCGGCCCAGGACATCTCCCCTTCCTACCCTACATCAACTGCAGCTGGTCTGCTGCAGTCTAGGCTGGCCTGAAACGTGCAGAGATCCTCCTGCTTCAGCCTCCCAGGTGATGGGATTATAGGCATGTGCTACCATGCCTGGCTCTGAAATTTCACTTTAGTAACTCATCTTTATTGGGTTTCATAAAAGAATAATTGTCCACTACATGGCAAGAATCCTTCACTATAGATAGTTGGAAAAGCATTGCAGTATAGAAGTGCACAAAGTAAACCATGAAAGCCTGTTTCTCACCTGCGTGTCTATTCCTCAGTCTCTCACCAACACTACCTTATTACCTTCTGCAAAGGTAGTATCTTCCAGATAGATACAATTATACAATTTTTATTTTATTTTATTTTCTGAGTCAAGGTCTCACTATGAGACCTTGAACTCACTATGTACCCCAGCCTGGCCTCACACTTGTGGTGATCCTCCTGCCTCAATCAACCTCCGGAGTGCTGGGATTTCAGGTGTGTGCCACCATGCCTAGCTATTGTATTTATTTATGCTGTGGATTCCAGGACCTGTGGCATGGTAAGTACTTGCTCTTATGACACAGCCATACCTCTAGCCCCATACACTATACACATACTCTTATTCTATCATTATTATTATTATTATTGATGTATGTTTGTGATACAAATTATAAGATTATAATCATCTTGAGGAATTGGCACATATACATACTGCATCTTAATCATTTTTACTACCCCACCCTGTCCTCCCCTCTCCCCAGTACATTCTTAATTTCATATGAAAAGGATCACAATATACATTTTGTGCAGGAACTTTCTTTTGTTCATTTAATAATATATCTCAAAGATCCTTCCAACTTTTTTAGAAAATATTAGTCAAATTTATCACATTTTAAATGTGTATCATTTGCATCACCCTTGAAAGGAGAATCTGTTTTAATTGTCACCATATTCCTAATGCCTGGAATACAACTTGGTACTTAGATGTCAATAAATAAATAAAGAGTTTAAAGATGAACAAATGGATGGATGATGAATTAATGAATGAATGAATACAAAAAGTTTACAGCTGACAACCAAAAGTCCCTGGGAGTATAATAGGCCTCAAACATTGGGCCACACCAGGCAGATAACTTGTATTTCCAAGAACTGGAAAACAATTGCATTAATCTGTAATGATTTTACCTGATGATAATCTTTAAGCAAGTATTACTATCACCATTTTATTGGTGAAAAAAACTGAGCTTAAATAATTGCTTAAATGACTTAAGCAAATTAAGTAATTTGCTTAACATCATATAGCTATCAAGTGACAGGATTTTTTACCTAATAGTTAAGCCCAGACCTAGTATTCAACCACTGGTTTGTTCTTCCACACAAAGATAGTAAAAGAGAGAAAATCATCTAAGGTTTAAAATCATTGTTAATATAGTCCTTAGACTGGCAGTGTCAGCATCAACTAGATGTGTTTTAAGAAATGTTGGAAGTGGTTTTAGAAGCTCACAATCTTAGGCTCCACCCAGACATACTGAATCACAATTTGAAGTTTAACAAGATCCTCAAGTGACTTTACGCATCTTAAAGTTTGAGAAGCATGTTTAAAGAACATTAGGAAATGGCATATCATCCTTCATAAGCTTTCAGTAGCTACTGTAAGAAATTGCCACAAATTTAGTGGTTTAAAGGAACAAAAATTTATTCTGCTACCATTCTGTAGAACAGAAGTCGACATAGGTCTCACAGGGATAAAAATCATGGTGTGGACACAGTAGCCATTACTTTCTGGTTGCTGTAGAAGACAATCTATTTCTTTGCCTTTTCCTGCTCCTAGATGCAACCTGCATTCCTTTACTCATGTCTCCTTCTTCCAGCTTCAAACTCAGCAACATTGCATCTCTCTGACCATACTTTCAAGGCCACATGTGATTCTGACCACAGCTGGAAAAGCTTTCTGCTTTTCAAGATTCTAGTGGATAGAGCGCAGCAGCACATGCCTATAATCCCTCCTGTTCAGGCAGCTAAGGCAGAGGAATTAAAGTTTGAGGACAGCCTGGGAAGTTTAAAAAGACCTTGACTCAAAATTAAAAAGTAAAAATGGCTAGAGCTGTAGCTTAGCATGCCCTAGGCTCAAGCCACACACACACACACACATACACTTCACATGGTTAGATTGGGACTCTGGATAATCCAGAATAATCTTACTAACTTTTTCAACGTTTTTTTGTGGTTTATTTGTTATTTGTTTCTTTCTTTTGGGGGGGGTACTGTCTCTTGCCCCTTTTTCTCATCCAAATGGAAGGAGGGGGTTTCTTTGACATTTCCTTATCTAACTAAATACAGAAAAGATCCAACTGTCATTCATGCCCTCATAAGGAATCTCTTCAACCAGAGAGATTACATTTAAATCACAGTGGCCCAGACAGACCCATCACAGGCTATCACTCCATGAGGGTCCACGTCCACTCTCCCCAAATCACTTACTCCTGTAATACTGTCTAAAGACCCCATCCTTGCTCTTCTATGAAGAGGGTATGCAAGCTTCTAGATCTCATTTGTTTTTTCTTTCCTCTGATGTCCTTATGCACATTATAAATTTATATGCTTTTTCTTCTGTCAATCTGTCTACTGTCAGTTTATCTATATAGACTCAGTTACTGTACTTACAGAGTATAGAAAGTTTTTTTTCTTTTAGAGGTCCAACAAAAGAGAAAATTAGCAAAAGCTAGATTAGGCAGGGAAGGCTTCTAACAAGAAGTAGAACTTCATCTAAACCTCAACAATAGGTAGGATATGATTAGGAGAAAGAAGTAAGAATGTTGTAGGCTTGAGAAAAAGAATGAAGGAAAATGTGAAATTGGGAAACTAAATAACATGTTAGCAAGAAGTCAAGTCTAGCTGGTCTTGGTTCAGACATAATGAGGAATAAGGTGAGGTGATGATGTGGACATGAGTGACAAGGTTAATTTAGATTGTGGAGGCAGGCATGGTGGTGCACTCCTGTAATCCCAGTTCTGGGAAGGCTGAGGCAGGAGGACTGCCACAAGTTTGAGACCAGCCTAGGCTACATAGTGAGTTCAAGGCCAGCCTGGACTACATATTGAGACCCTGTCTCAAAACAAAATTGGTGGAAAGGCCCAAATGCCAAAATGTTCTTTAAGTAAGTGAGATAAACACCCTAATGTTTCAAATCTACTTTAGAAATTTTTCAAGATGGATAAAGGATGGAAGAAAATGGAGATACACTTGGTAGCTCACCATCAGCATATCAAATACCTGAGATAATCAGCTTGTAGAGAGAAAAGTTTTATTTTGGCTTCTAGTTTTGAAGGTTTCAGTCCATGACCCATCAGCCCATTGCTTCTGGGCCTGTGTCAAGGCATCATGACAGGAGTGAATGGTGGAGCCAAAACTGCTTAACTTGTGGCCAAGCAACAAAAGAGAGGGAGCCCAAGACCAGAGCCCCACAATTTCCTATGAAGGCATGTCTCTGACTGCAACCACCAACACCCAAAGACCTCCCAGTAGGTCTTAAAGTTTCCACCATTTTCCAATAGGGCCAAGCTGGTGGCCAAACTTTTTTGGGGGGGCGGGGGGGTACCGGGGATTGAACTAGGGTCCTTGCACTTGCGCAGCAGGCAGCAAAACCACTGAGTTAAATCCCCAGCCCCTGGTGGCCAAACTTTTAATACCTGGGCCTTTGAAGGTTACTCTCAAGTCAAATTACAGCAGGAGCCTCCCATTTGGGAAGCTACTGTGATGATCCAGGTACCAGGTAACAGCAGATACAGTAGGTAGCTGTGAAGACAAACAGAACAGGAAGATTCAAGTATAATTTCCTTTCTTTAAGAAAGGTATATTGGTCAGTTTTGCTGCTGCTGGCGCTAAATATGACACACACAATTTAAAGGAAAAAAGTTATTTGGTCTCACAGTTTTAGAGGTGTCCATGCTCAGCTGGCTCCAAGGCAGAAACATCATGGTGGGAGGGCACGGAAGGTGAAAGCTTCTCAACTCATAGCATCCAGGAAGCAGAGAGCAGGGCAAGAGCCTCGGAGGAAGGAGCCAGGGACCAGACATAGTCCCCAGGGTCATGTCCCCATGATCCACCCAAACTCACCCAGACATGTGTTTTGCTAATCTAGGCCTTTCTCAAGCCAATTGAGTTGTCAATCAATATTTACCATCAGAGAAGGACCAATAGGATTCAGTGCTTAAACAGAATAAAGCAGAAATAAGGGTCTATGGATAGTTCAGTAGTGAAGCATGTGCAAGGCCCTGGATTGGGTTAGGGGGCCTAAGGAAGCAGGAAGAAGAGGATACTAACAACAAAGATGAGTCTGAACTTTGGGATACTTGGGTGACTAGTCAAAGGATTTTAAACCTTATGATCTCAAGATGCTGCAAGGGGACCAGGCAGATTACCTTTTACTGTTGAGAAAATTATATTTGCCCACTCAGGACTAATTCTCAGCATGCCCAGCAGCAAAGCACCCAGGGTAGTGCTACCAGATTTACCAAATAACATACGCCTAATTGTTAATCATAACTTATTTTCAGAGTGATTCTCTTTCTAGCGAGGAGAGTAGCCCACCAGCATGTGTATGGTCATATAACTGCCACAGGACTAAATGGAAAACAGTCACTTAACTATACAAACACTTCATGCATAAAATCAAATACTCAATGATTTCTGCTACAGAAAAAAAGTTTTTTAAGACAGGGTTTCTCTATGCAGTCCAGGCTGGCCTTGAATTCACTACGTAGCACAGGTTGGCTTTGCATTCACAGTGATCCTCCTGCCTCAGCCTCCAGAATGCTGGGATCACAGGGGTGCACCACCATGCCCAGCTTAAGAATGAGAACAATTTAAACCTCAGGAATATAATACTTTAGCAGCCTCAGGGAAGCCATTGGTAATTCTGTTTTTTTCTCTTCAGTTGTCATTTGAAGCTTGGCTGTATTGAAACAGTAGACAAATAACGTTATCACTGGATTTCCTTTCAGAATGGATGAACTCAGGGTCTACTAACAAAATCTCTGTTGAAAAAGATGACACAGTGTATAATTACAGACTTACCATTCCATTTTTCCTCATGGTGACAAATAGCCTTACTTTCCTGAATTAATTTCTACTAGTGCTTTTCTATGAATAAAATGTGTACTTTACTTTTCTTACCTCTGAATCCTCCAGAATTCTAAATAACTCTTAATCTTTTCACACTTTAATGTTGATGTTTTAAAAGTAGATAGTAACATGGAAAGACAACTTTCCCCAAAATAACTTAGAAACAATGTAACAGTTTTAAAAAATTATGATTTGTCTAGAATTTGACCCTGAAATAGATAGGACAGAACTGTCCTCCTTAAGACAATCTTGTGGAGCAGGGCCAGTAGCTCTACTACCCTCCATCCTCTGGTTTAGTCAAAAGCTTGTTTGTTTTTTGAGACAAGGTCTCACTTTGTAGTTCAGGATGGCCCTGAACTCACTATGCTGGCCTCCAACTCACAGCAATCCTCCAGCCTCAGCCACCCAAGTCCTGGGATTATAGGACCAGCTTAGGCAAGAGTTTTTGTTTTGTGTTTTTATGGTAGTAAGGATTTAACCCAAACCCTCCCCATTAGGCAAGCATTCTACACTGAGCTACATTCTACACTGAGCCCTTTTAAAGTTTTATTTTGAGACAAAGTCTCTCTAAATTGCCCAGGCTAGCCTTGAATTTGCATCCCTCTTGCCTCAATCAGCCTCCCCAGCAGCTAGGATTACAGGCACGTACCAACCTCACTTGGCCTAGTGATGGATTTATTAAAAAATGAAATTAGAATTTAAAATAACACCACCACTTGATGAGTGAATGCTGACTAAAATTTTGACCTACCTCTTTGAACTTTGCTGAAGCTAGAGAGACAATGAAGACAGTCGCATCTTTTGGATATACTAAGGTGTCACAAGTGGACACGGGCCACTTTTCAGGCCAAAAAGTTAAGCCACCTTGGGGCTCAGAGGAGCCAAAGGGAGCCTCTGTGTCTGCACACAAAGATCCCAAGAGTCAAGTTGAGCAATTTCCTGAATGCACTGGTTTATTGAGCATTTATCACATTAACAGCAAGAGAGAAAGGAGCTTACCCATGACATAGACTGGAAGCTGGAGGCAGCACCCACGGTGCAAGATCTTTCATCTTTCCTCTACCTGGTCGCCACGCCATAAGAGCATGGGGCAGGATGCAGAGAGGGAACTGGCATTGCTGGAATGCACAGTGATCTGGAGATTGAGCACTGGGACTCACAGTGATCCACAGACTAGTACAGGCCAGGAGTCAAACGGGGCATCTCAGACAAGCAGAATGACGCAGTCACAGACAGTTGCGGAGCTCAAGCCAGTGGCAGCTCTGTGAAGAGCAGTTCCCAAGGCAAAGTCCACAAGCATTGCACCAGAAGACTGTTTTGTCTTTTATGCTATGGGGAGTTTGGTACAAACAATGTTTTTCTTTATGGTAAAAAATTTTCATAAAACATATTTTTTATAGGTTTCTCTAAAGGGGTTCACAAGATAAGTTTGGCACATAGACCATGTGGTTATCACACCATATGGCTCCCTCACAAGTTATCACACAGGCACACAGGTTGTATGGTTATCACACTGCTCACAAGCTAGTTTAGACTCAAAGTCTGAAACCATACAGAATCATGGGATGGCTTTTGTCCTGCTCACATCAGAGGGGTACAGTTACAAGGGAGTGGGGAAAAGTTGTAGAACTGTTCTGGGTACTTCGGCTCTACTGAAAATGACTGCCAGATACAGGAGATAGGAAGATGGGAGGTCAACTAGGGTAACATATCAAAAGTGGAGAGGTAGGAGTTGGGTGCAATGGCACATACCTGTAATCCTAGCTACTCATGAGGCTGAGGCAGGAGGATCACAAGGTCAAAAATTGAAGTCCAGCATGAACAATTTATTGAGACCCTGTCTCAAAAGGGAGGTGAGGTGGGTATGATTCAGGGGTAGAGTCTTCTTAGCATGCACAAGGTCCTCAGTTCAAAAGAAATTTTTAAAGTGGAAAGGTATACTATGGGAGAGCAAGCAATACTTCCTCCTTCCCCATCTTGGGCTTCCCTCCCTCCTATGCCTGCCACACTTTTTTTGATTCGTCACTGACCTAGAGGTTAAAAATACAAACTATGTTAACATCTAACACAGCCAGTTTATTGGAAAGGAATGGTTACTCTCTATCTGCACACAAAGATCCCAAGAGTCAAGTTGAGCAATTTCCTGAATGCACTGGTTTACTGAGCATTTATCACATTAACAGCAAGAGAGAAAGGAGCTTACCCATGACATAGACTGGAAGCTGGAGGCAGCACCCATGGTCCAGGATCTTTTATCTTTCTTCCACCTGATGAAGAATGGTTTCATCAAGAAATTGTTTTTAGGGGCCGGGGATTTAGCTTATTGGTTCCGCTGCCTGCCTCACAAGCACAAGGTCCCAATTTTGATCCCTGGTACCAAAAAAAAAAAAGAAAAGAAAAGAAATTGTTTTTAGCTAGGTGTGGTGGCACATGCCTACAATCCCAACACTTGGGAGGTTGAGGCATGAAGATTGCCATGAGTTCGAGGCCAGCCTGGGCTACATAGAGAGACCCTATCTCAAAAAAATTGTCTTTAAAATAAGTTAAATTAAAAGTCATTACAAATGCAGGTGGTGAATTCACTGAAGTCTGATATTTCAATGGTGCATATAATCAATCACAGTTTTTGGGTTTTATTTTTCATTTTTAAAATAAGACTCAAGACATATTTTAAAAGTAGCAGCATTCCCATATACCATTTACCCAGCTTTCCGCAATGATAACATCACATAAACACAAACTATCAAAACAAGCAAATGGGCATACCATCAATTCGTTTTTAAAGAAACTGAAGATACTTTAAAAGTTTGTTAAAACCCTTTAAATGGCTCCTGAATACTGGAGGGAAGAGTCCCTGGAAGGAGCTGAGTCAGAAAGAAGAAAATGACATCCAAAGAGGTTAAATGCTTTAGCCAGCCCCAGAAGATCACTCTCTGGACGGTACACTCCAACTAGAGGATGGGTAAAACTAAAAAACTGACATAGCCACCTTAAATCAATCTCTGCAGGTAACAGACATCAGTATGTATTAAAAGCTCCCCCTGCCAGGCATGGTGGTGCATGTCTCTAATTCCAGCTACTTAGGAGGCTAATGCAGAAGGATCAAGTTTAAGCCCACTTTGAACAGACCTAGTTTCAAAATAAAAAATACAAAGGGCTGGGGACACTGTACAGTGATACAGAATCCCCGGGCTGGAGCCCCAGTACGAGCGCTGTGAATGGGGGTAGGTCGAGTAGAGATTTTACTAAGTGGAAATAATATCTTTTTTAAAAGTGAGTTTTAAAATAATTATACTTTAGTGACATCACCGACAAATGTTAAAACGTATCCAGCGGGGCATGGTGGCGCACACTTGTAATCCCACATGAGTTCGAGGCCAGCCTGGGCTACATTCAATAGTTAGAGCTTGTCTCAAAAACCAGAAAATAAATAAAATGCATCCAAATTTCCTTTGTTCTATAGATCCAAATTTCTATGTACTTTTGATACTCAATGTAACCATTTAGCCTTAAAATAATAACGCTCAAGGATGTAATAGAAGGCAAAGACGTTTCTAAACCCTAGACAGGTCTCCAAAGACCAACAATGGGATAAAAAGATGAACAAACCAATTGTCTAATTTTTTAGTACGGTACTTTGGATCAGTACAATTTTTAATTTCAAATTTGAGAAAATTCTGGGAATTGCTATTAGAAGAAAAAAACCTGAAGCTGATTTCTCCCTTTCTGCTTAACTGCAGCAACCACGTAGGGAATACACAGACTCTCGGGCATAATCAAGTCACCTCTGTAAAGTTCTCGCCCTAAGATTATTTTTGGAACTAGGGATTTTCCAGATTACTGAAAGTCATAGCGCTGTCACAGGCAGGGTCCGAATTTCGCAACTGAGAGGCCCGGCTTCCTCCAAGAGCGAACTTTTTCACTGGAAACGACACGGGCGTTCCTGTTTTCGATCAACATTCTAGAGCAGCACTGAAGGACCGCTCACTGGCCACTTTAAATTACAAGTTCGTCCTCGCACACCAGAGTCAACAAGTGCGGGCTAAAGTGGGCCTGAGCTCCTTTTTGCGCCGCGCAATCGCGACCGCGACCTTTTATTAGAGGAAGGCAGACGACCCGAAGAGAAGCAGGTTTTAGACAAATTACTAAAATCGCGCAGGGGTAGTATTCTGCCAGTTCTATCTTGGGGGTAAAGTATTTTCGTAAAATTCTCTTATTCTTGTAACTAAATATTTTCCAAGTCTGGCGACCTGGCCTCGTTTCAGCCACAGGCCTCAGGATACCCGGGCAGACACAGCCGGCGCCGACATGAGCCGGTGTGGACCCACAGGACGGGGCGCGGTCTGGAGGGACTAGTTGGCGCGCGCCGGTCGGCGTGGTGACGTCAGGGCGGAAGTGCACGCTGCGCGAAGCGGCCTCAGAACCCGGCGGTCACGGGAATATCCGTCGCGCCGAGCACGCTGGTTAGTCTCTCTCGGGGTTCCGGCTGCGTTGGGTGTGCGTACAGCTCGCAGACACTATGGCGTCCGGGCCTCACCCGACTTCGACCGCTGCCGCCGCCGCCGCCGCTTCGTCGGCCGCTCCGAGTGCAGGCGGCTCCAGTTCGGGTACGACGACCACCACGACGACTACAACCGGAGGGATCCTCATCGGCGACCGCCTATACTCGGAAGTTTCTCTAACCATCGACCACTCACTGATTCCGGAGGAGAGGCTGTCGCCCACCCCGTCCATGCAGGATGGCCTTGACTTGCCCAGCGAGACAGACTTGCGCATCCTGGGTTGCGAGCTCATCCAGGCCGCCGGCATCCTCCTCCGGCTACCGCAGGTTAGTGTTCCGGGTCGTCTGGGCCCGCCTTGCCTCGCGGCCCTTCGTCGGCATCCAGGACCCCCGTGCCCCAGTCCCACGGGCTCTTGCTGGACCCTGGCGGGAGATTGGGCTGACAAAGGGGGAGGGGGAGGGGGAGGGAGGCCGGCCTGGACTGAGCGCGGCGGCGGGAGGGGGAAGGGAAGACAGCGGCGGCACAAAATGGCGGCGGCGCCCGGTGCGGGCCCGCCTGACCCCTGCGCTTCCGTTCCCCTCTCTTGTCTGCAGGTGGCGATGGCAACGGGGCAGGTGTTGTTTCATCGTTTTTTCTACTCTAAATCTTTCGTCAAACATAGTTTCGAGGTAAGCACTGCGGAGGCGGACGAAATGCGATTTCTTCATCTGGAAATGGGAAGGGGGGGGTCAGTGTCGGCAGCCAGCTTTTCCTGAAAGGGAGTGGTTAGTTTAAGCCTTTGTACTTACTTCTCGTTCGCTAGGAAGTGGGGCCCCACAGAATTGTTTCACAAACTAGAAAATGGATCCTCAGCCCACGTGAGCTCTTAGAAAGAATTAGTTTTCAACTTAACGTACAACTCCCTCGAGGCTTAGGTTGATTGTGGGTCCAGAGTTAAGAGGCAAACAGTAGAGGGTAATAGGCATGTCAATTTTAATATTTCACCAAGGGTCGTCCCAGTTGTTTTGAAGTTCTTGGATAAGAATAAATTGTTAGACTGTGGAGAGAGATAACAGTTATTTTTGTCCACTTATGGGTTCTTTCAGATTGTTGCCATGGCCTGTATTAATCTTGCATCAAAAATTGAAGAAGCACCTAGAAGAATAAGAGATGTGATTAATGTATTTCACCACCTCCGCCAGTTGAGAGGAAAAAGGTAAGATTGGCATTATTAAACATAACACTCTTTACTACTGCTGTACTGCACACCAGTCATCAAAACATCTTTCCTCTCCAATTACCGTGGATGCAAAAGAAAGCATTTTAAATAAAGCATTAAAATTCATATAGGGAAAGCTGATGCTGAAATTAATTTGGAAAAAACCCCAATTAACCATCTATCCAGTTTATAGAGGCAGTTGCAATTATGGACAGTCTTAACAGTTCTCTGAAGCCAGTCCATTGACTTAAGATTAAACAAGAAAGGGAATTTGACTCAAGTGTGAGTGTATTCTGTAAGTTACATCCCCCTTCCTTCTCTAGAAGACTGAAGGCTAGATGTTTTAAACACTTGTAGTTCAAGTTAATATTGTGGCAAAGTTCTGTGTAGATTGTTTTTCTACTTGAAGTCGCAGTTAAATCCTGTGAATTGAGGTTGGCTTATGTTAAGAGTACTTCACAACATTGAAGTACAATATATTGCATAATACTGGATCTGAAAGGACAGCAGGATGATAAAAGTTTGAAGTCAGAGGGATTGAACAGGTATTTTGTTTTGGTCAGATGTAGTCAGTGACTGAGTAAGAAAAATAACTCATAGTATTGGTTTATTGATTGAGTCGTTTTTAGAGTTAGCCTGTGTATTTGAACTTGTAAAAAAAAGAACAGAAATAGTTTTTTTTTTTTTTAGGTGTTGTGATAACCTGATAACTTTATGTGGATCTAAGTGTTCATCTGAGGCAGTACCAAAAAGTTTGTTGCAGGACTTCCTGTGTCTGTGGGTGATTTTTAGTACATGCTGCAGAAGGATATCTATGGTGTAGATGAGCTTCTGTGTTCTTTTTAAGGAACTGTGACGGTGGTATACAAACTTGTACTGAGTGTGAAAGGGAGTTAGAAAAGGATTGTAAGTCTTCTTTGGGGATTGAGTATTTAGTGCCGAATTAGTATTCTATCTAAGTAATCTTTTAGCAGTATCTGAAAGTTGGCAGTCGTGTGGAACTACCAAGAGAAGCAAATAGTGAAATAACTTTAAAATGATTAGCCTCTTCAGAAAGTCTGAAACATTGCTATCTAAATGCTGTTTCATAGCATTTTCTAGTTTTCTTACCTTTTTCTTGCCCATCTTTTTGCATTCTGTTAGGAACAATCTTTTACTTAATTTCAAAATAATCTTTAGTGTCTTGGTGAGGAATCATTGAGAAATGGGAAGATTTCAGTTTGGTATTCGGCAAGGTTTGAGCTTAAGTTTTATTTAAATATGTGGCTGATGTTCTTCAAGGTGTTTTAAAACAAAAGGACACTTAATACAGGGCTCTTAAGTCAGCAGATTCTGTTTGCATAAAGGAAGTGCTGTACGTTTCTGGTAGTGTTTGAATCTTTTGAGCTAGCTGTTAATATCACGTGGTTTTAAAAAATTTCCTTTTCCTGCTAGACCTAAATTTTCTTTCTTCAAGTCAGAATAAGGTCTTCTGAACTAATTTAAAATAACCCTATCTAACTGTTGTGTCTGATGTAACTGCATTTTTTTTGGTCATTACAGAAATTGATTTTGTGAAGTCTGATTATAGCATGAAATTTAAAAGGACTTTTTAATTGCATGGAAGCCCCTTCTTTTTTTAAAAAAGCAGGATGTAAAAGTTTCTATGCGTATTACAAGTTTACTCAGACATGTAACTTGTATATGTTATTAACTTCAACTCTTTTTTCCCTTGCAACCGACTATACAGCGACCAGCTACATTTACCAAAGCCTGGGTGATGTGGAGTGGTACATAGAGATGAAGCTGTCGTCATGGCAACAGTGAGTGAAGTATCGAAAATCCCCAAGGAGAAGCCAGTGCTCTGAGAATAGGTCACTGGAATCGGGGACTAACAGGTTGGCCACTGGTGAACCATTTAGAAAAACTCCTGTTTCTTGTTATAAGCTTTTGTCTTTGCTGTCCAAGTTATTAGAACTATAGTTTTGTTTGGGGTTTTTTTGTTTGTTTTTCTTTTTGTTTTGGGGGGGCATAGGTTAATGTTAGAAAGTATCATTGATATTATAACTTGTTTCAGATAAGCATATCAGTTAGTCTCAATGTGTTTTAGCCCAATTTGTGCATGACTTTATTGTATGACCTTGAAAATGCTAGTGAGGTATGTAACTTGTCATTGTCTTTCAGCCTTGGCTACATACTTAAATCACTAGGGGGTCGTTTTTAAAGTACCAATGCCTAGGCTTCCACCTGGGTTAGTTGGTCTGTCCCCCTTTAGTTTTTTATAGTTCAGAATAAGTGGCTGAATTTAAAGGAAAGATTGCTTTTTTAAATTTCACTGGTTTCCAGATATAATTTACATTTTTCTGTATAACGTATTCCAAGTAGTAAAGGATTTTTTTGTTGTTTTTTAGGAGCCCAGGTTTATACTTTAAAGGTTTGTTTAAAACTGAAAGATTGGCTTAACTGCTGTTATTAGTGACTTATTGTGGGATTTTCAGTGTATCTATCGATCGTAGGAGTTGGAGAGGTCTTAAGTGATATTTAATCTAGTTTTACTATCTGCAGTCTGTTTTTGTGGCTATAAATATGGCCTTCAGTTTAAACACCTTAAAGAATTTCTCCTTCCTTTGAAGTAGGTATTGAAAATTTCTATATATTCTATTTATATATGGCTCATCTGGTTTTAATACAGTCTCTCGAACAACTAGTACCAGAGTCTAGCCTATAACATTTGAATGAGAGTGACAGTGTTTGGACCTTAATTTTGAGTTTTTAAATTGTAGTTATATTTCCATCAGATTGGTTGTGCTAAAGAAAAGTAGCTATTAAATAAGTTTTTAATGACCAAAGACGAAGATTTCTTAAGATTTAAAAATTGTTCTCATATAAGTTAATCAGAAAAGTCTGACAATAGAAACTTGAAGCAGAGGAGAAGGAATTCGGTAGTTTGAATATTAGTCATGATTGAGTTTCTCTGAATAAATAAATCCTCACAAGAGATTTTTAACTGCCACCTCTCTAGATCTTGTATGGGCAAGCAACATTTACCCGAGTGGGGAAAAGATTCTATTTTACCCAGCTTTAACTGAATATGTGTTGCTATAAAAAGTACTACTGGATACTTTGTTACATAAGTAAAACTTACTAAATGTTTTTCCTAAGTTAACATTGTGCAGATTTATGTATTCTATCTTTAGTACACAGTAATCTATAAGGCATTTGTAAATTTTTCTTTGAGCCTTTGATTTGTGAGGTAAAAGCAATTCTGAACAAAGAGATGGCATCATTTTTTATAGCCACAAAGTTAACATTGAAACTAGGCCATGGCAGGACTAAACAAGTTGAACATGTAGTTTTAATAATAGTAACATACTAGGTTTTATTTCCTGTGTGTTTTGAAGTCATTGAGATTTTGGCGTGCAAAAATTACAGCACCAATTAAGGCAAAATAGATGGAAAATAATAGAAGCAGAATTGATGAGTTGGTCTGATTTGAGACCAGATAAGTAGCCATAAGCCAAACGAGTGTTTAGCAGCCTAATTCCAAGAACAAATGAATTTTATCACCATTTGAAAGCAATTCGTAAAGCAGGATTTCTTAGTAAAAACTACAAATAATTTTGGTCAACATAATGGAGAAAAATATTACAGATCTTTACTTTCATAAAATTATATAAGGTTTTTTGTTTTGTTTTGGTTTGGTTTTTTTGATTCGGGGATTGAACTCGGCACCTTGTGCTTGCAAAGCAGGCGGTGGAATCACTGAGCAAAATCCCCAGCCCATATATAGGAATTTTAAAGGTGTCATTTACTGTCTGGATTGCAGGAGTTAGGAGTTAAGTGTTGTGCAGCTGTAATGAAGCTTTGGTCTTAGTTCCAGTTTAACCATAAGTAACAGTTATGTAATAGTCATCAAAGAGTCTGAAGTGGAAATGATGTTTTGGGTTTTTTTATATTTCTTGTGATAATGGTAAAACTTGAAAAATCATAAGCCTTAAGGCCATGTTTTCACGTGTGTTGAATGCTCTCATATGAATTAATTTTTTTAAAGCAGTTTGTAGCCTGTGTCCTGATAAAATGACTTCATCATTTTAATTTTTATATATTTTTTGGTACCGGGGATTGAACTCGGAACCTTATGCTTCCAAGGCAGGCAGCAGAACCACTGAGCTAAATAAATCCCCGGCCTGGCTTCATTATTTTCATGTTAGCAGCCTATTCCCCAAGTTGCTGCCCTTATGTCTTTTATAGATGTAATAGCAGTTGAATTTAGTGAAAGATGTTTTTCAGCATTAAGTAATAACTGATCTTGCTAATTTTCATCTTTTTAGCTCCCTGAACTTTTAATGTAATTTGAAAAAGATGTAGAATAACTAGCAAGACTCATTTATATTTACTATAATTTAGGTGAGAAAAATGAGGAAAATACTTGATAGGTGGTTTTTGTTTTGAGGGGGTTGGCCTTATGTCACCACAGGGGATAATGTGTCATATTTTTCTTAACCGTCAAGTGTATGTATTTAAAAAGATTTTTGTTTGTAAAAATATGAAGTTACATTTTCTGGAACAAGTGTTACATTGGGTTAAATATTCAGAATGACTATGTATCTTATAAAAAGTTGTATTCTGCCCAGAGCAAAAAATTCTTAAATCTATTTGCTAAAAATGACTATGGGAGAAAATACTTGAATGTTCTACCCATACCCTAACCATATAGTCAATGTTTTGATAAAAATGTAGTTTTTGTTGGTTGGATCCAAGAATGTATCAAAGAAACATGGTACGTTTCATAGACTTGAAAGTCCCCATTTCTTAACATTTCCTTATAAAAACTAATGTCAAATTGTGAAGACGTCTTACTGTAAATGGTAAGGTTTTTTTCTATCAGAAAACAAATCACAGGAACAACACTGTTTCTGTGTGCTGTTTTCATACTTATGTAGTAGAAAAACTTGAAGTTACCAGAATTTACTGTGGCTCAGGGACCTTGAATATGTTCTGCCTGGTTCTTTTATTTTTGGTACCGGGGATTGAACTCAGTACTTTGCGCTTGGGAGGCAGATGCTGGAAGTCTGTTTCTTTCAATATGATCTTTCATTCTCTTTTGGTTGTACACTAAGTTGCCTGTGATTACACCTCTGACCAAATTTAGGTGTGGATCTCATAGATCAGTATGGGTTTTGAAACAGATTTGTAACATTTCATTTGGCAATTGGTTTCTTTAGGTTTCAGTTTGGTTGGTTTTGTTTGAGCAGAGATTAGAACAGTTGGGTTAAACAAATTGCCCCTTTTTGGAGCACATTAATTTTGTCATTGGAAAGTCTCTGGAACCTATTGAAGTTTGTGATGATGAATCATGTTAAAGTTAAATATACTAGTCAAAGTTCAGAAATCAAGGATAAATTAAGACTATTTGGGTGACTTCTGCTTTAGAATTGTTAGTTCCATTAGGAACTTAAGTCTGGATGTGTGTATTTAAATAGCATAACTTGGACAGCACAAGATGAATGCTTTAACTTGTTTGCAGGAGTTTAAAAAAGCTGGTTTCTGTTGCCTATAGTTGGTTGGAAGGGAAAACGGAGATTCCACACATAAAATTTTTTGGATGTGCAAAACAGTTTTGATTTTATTTCTTACAAACTAGGACTCCAAGCCCCTTGATTCTTGATCAGAACTACATTAACACCAAAAACCAAGTTATCAAGGCAGAGAGGAGGGTGCTAAAGGAGTTGGGATTTTGTGTTCATGTCAAGCATCCTCATAAGGTGAGTTGTAGAATATACAAAATTATATTTTGTAAGTATTAGGGCTTTTCCTAAAATTTTATGTTACTTGATTTTATATTTTATTTGTGTGTGTGTGTGTGTGTGTCCATATATATATATGTATTTGAGAATTGATGTTGGTTTTGAAATATTCTTAACCAGACATGGTAGTGCATGCCTGTAATCCCAGCACTCTGGAGGCTGAGGCAGGAGGATGGCCGTGAGTTCAAAGCCTGCTTGAACTACATAGTGAGACTCTGTCCCAAAACCTAATAAAAAATAAAAAGCATTCTTTTGGACACTGAGCATAATCAGAAAAATGAAGGTCAAAACAGGTTCAAATATTTGCTCTTAATTGTTTAATTTAAAAATTTCTTTTTATTTTTCTGTGGTTAAATCCCAGTTTTCCCACCTGAAATACTAGCTGGTAGAATACTTCATTCTGAGGAATAAATATGTGGCTGCAGAAGACCTGGCACACTGCCAGAATACTAGTGTTCAAACCACAGTTGCTGCTTATTCTTACCATTATTAAAAAGTTGATAGGTTTTCTCCAGGGTTTCTTGGTTTTCATATTATCAATATAAACAATAGCTCAGTAGTTACTAGAGTTGGATGCTTAGATCCGAGACAGTTGGGGATAAAAATTTGCCTCTGTTGGGCCGGGGATTTAGCTCAGTGGTTCCTCAAGTGCAAGATCCTGAGTTCAATCCTTGGCACCCCCCCCCCCCAAAAAATTGCCTCTGTTAACAGTATGATATTGGCAGCTGTCTCTTTCTCTATTTTCACTATTAAAATTGTAGAATGGGAAAGATACTGAGATAAAATTATTTACTGTGATGTCAGTGTGGTAAGCTTCGTTGCAGTTTATTTACTATAATATTTGGGCTTAACATAACAATGTGTCATAGCTATTGTAACTCTAAAAACTGTGTCTATAGGGTTTTTAGGGGATGTAAAATATGTCTTGATAAATTAAATGAAATAATCTATCACAGTGCCCATAACAGAGTAGAGTCTCTGTAAAGTTTTATTTATTCTGTACTGGGGATTAAACCCAGGTCCTGATACATGCTGGGCACGTGTTCTACCATTGAGCTACATCCACAGCCCAAATTTTTTTGTTTACTATTGAGCAGATTGTGCATTATTTTCTCTACAATTTTGGGACATACTTTTAAACATAATTTTTATTGAATCTAGTAACATAATAACCCACATTGGATCCCGAGTGCTTTGTAGGTTGGTATGTATTATCTGTGCAGTTTATAGAAGAAATAGAACTTGTACCTAACATTTTTAGTTTATTGGAGTCTGTGAGAAAGAAGCACCATTATGCTGAATTGAGTTTTTTTTCCCTTATCCTTCAGATCATTGTTATGTATTTACAAGTCTTAGAATGTGAACGTAATCAAACCCTGGTTCAAACTGCCTGGTAAGTTCCTTTTTTTTACATTTCATTTCTAGCCAGGAAAACAGAAGCAGAAATAAAGTAAGTTTCATTTTCTTTTTCCAAAATAACGAGATAAGTTTTGGGTTTTTTGTTGTTGTTGTTGTTGTTGTTGTTATTTAACCAAAAGGTCAATAATGCTTATTTCTGCTTCCTGTTTTCTTGGTTTGACTTATTACTTTTAATGGAGAACTCAATTTAACTTTGTTCTTTTTTCTACTCTTTAATTAAAGGGTAGTCCATGATGGTAAGTCATAGAACTCTGCCCTCTGCACTTCAGCCCATGACCTCAGGATGGCCTGATTGGCTGCCCTGCTCTCCAGCCAATCCAGTGCAAGCTCTCATCCGAGATTCACTGAAGTGGTCCATATCCATCTGGCAGCATCTTCTAGTTCTGTCGGGGTGTCAAAAGGATTTGTATATTTGCTTCTAGAAGTAACTATTCAACATGCCTATGTATTTAATGTATACCTGTAACTATCAAAATGAATAGTTCATTTTTGATAAATTTGTTGTCCAGCCATTATTAATTAAATGATTTTTTTAAAGTTAGAGGAGTTTGGCTAAATTTCCATATATCGTGTGTATAGCATGAATTATGCCAAAGAAGTGACAACCTGCATCTTTAAATGGGCACCAGTTCTCATGCTGGGTTAATTTGCAGTTGCTGTGCTATTTCAAGCAGTGATATTGCAATAAGTACTTCATTTTTAAGAAGTTAATATGACTTAAATGCTTTTGAACTTGGACCTTTGAGATGCAGATGTATATTTTGGAGTGCTGGCTAAGGTCAAGCAAGGAGATTGTGGCTCAGCCACAACTCAACTTCATAAGCTGTTGATGTGACTTAATTATTTTAATTTTTATGTTCTGGATTTTTCCAGCAAAATGTCTTTTTTATGACTGCCATACATCTTTTGGACTCCATAAATATTTAGTAATAACACAGAAGTCTTATTCCTTTTATAAAATGCATGGCTTTGATGTGTTCTACAAAACAGGTTTTAGTAGTTTTTATGGGTAAGGATTTTTAAGAAATAATTCATTTAGTTTCAGCCTAAATAATTTGTAGATTTTTAGTTTAGTTGTGGGGAAGGCTCACTAGAAATTCCAGCAGTTTGTTAATTGAAATAGTTTATTCCTGTTATTTATACTGCAAAAAAAGGTATGTAAACAAGGTGGTTATGTATATTTATTGCTCTTCACTTCCCTACCTAGATTTTTCTCAAGTAGTTTAGTTTTCTTAAGAGTATAACTTACCAAAAATGTCTTTTTACCCCTGTCACAGTTATTTTAAGTTTTCAAAGAACTTGGTTGGCACTGCTTTTCATTGTGGATAAAGGAGAGATGGTCAGTAATTAATGGCTTGAAGTATTGTTGGAGTGGTTTGTCATTTCTGAAAATAGTCATGTCAGAATTGACTTACTAAAGCATTATTTCTTATTACAGAAATACATTAACGGGTAATATGGATAGTAAAGCTGAATTATTTAAAGGGGCTTTGGTCACAGAGGACAGTAAAGAATGATTCTGATATTACATTCTTAATTTTACTAATTTTTTTGATTTTAGAATTGTTATATGCTAGAATATGAAGATATGAATATAAGAGAAGAAAAAAGAATAAAGTAGATTGAGTCTCCAAATTATATAAGCTTTAGAAGAACTGGTTTGTTTATGTACAAAGCTTATAGTTGAAATATTTTTCAGGAATTATATGAATGACAGTCTTCGAACCAATGTTTTTGTTCGCTTTCAACCAGAGACTATAGCATGTGCTTGCATCTACCTTGCAGCTAGAGCACTTCAGGTAGGTTTAAGTAGCCTGTTTTATTCTGTGGGTTAAATCCTAAGAGTTACTAGACTTTCCAATAAAAACCAACAATTGAAATATTCTCTTTCCTTGGCTTAGATTCCATTGCCAACTAGGCCCCATTGGTTCCTCCTTTTTGGTACTACAGAAGAGGAGATCCAAGAAATCTGTATAGAGACGCTTAGGCTTTATACCAGAAAAAAGGTACTGTTTTTACTCATTAGTACTAATATTGTCAGTGCCAAGAAGCTATACACTGCTAAAGGGGAAATACTAACATAATTTTTCTTCAACAGCCTAATTATGAATTGCTGGAAAAAGAAGTAGAAAAAAGAAAAGTAGCCTTGCAGGAAGCCAAATTAAAAGCAAAGGGATTAAATCCTGATGGAACTCCTGCCCTTTCAACACTTGGTGGATTTTCTCCAGCCTCTAAACCATGTAAGAGAAATTCAGAATTGAAATTACTTGGGGCCACTGAGAGATTATCTTTATTAGAAAAGCTCACCATGTATCCGTTTCCTAGAAACAGTTGTGTTAAGCTAGCCATCGCCTAAAGGTGATATAGTTGGAAGTGTAGTACTTTGAGTTGCATTTAGAAACTTTTAGCCCTTAAGTCCAATGGTTAACAAATTGTTATGTCTTCAAAAGCATCACCAAGAGAAGTAAAGACTGAAGAGAAGTCTCCAGTCTGCATTAATGTGAAGACAGTCAAAAAAGAACCTGAGGATAGACAGCAGGCTTCCAAAAGCCCTTACAATGGGTAAGTATACTTGAATTAGAAAACTTATTTGAGGAATCTTTTGGTTTTATTTAAGTATTAACTAAAATAATCTTGCTTTTTGAAGTGTAAGAAAAGACAGCAAGACAAGTAGAAATAGCAGAAGTGTAAGTCGATCAAGGTCAAGAACCCGATCACGTTCTAGATCACATACTCCAAGAAGACAGTAAGTAAATGATTCCTTAGGGAAAGCATTCTTATTTGGAGTCTTTAAAGATTATTGCTCTTATGAAAAGATTGGACATGGCCTGTTTTGACAATTAGGCTAGGGTTAAGTGCTTCCCCCCACCCCCGTACTGGGAATTGAACTTGGAAACTTGCGCTTGCAGGGCAGGCGCTGGAACCGCTAAGCTAAATCCCTGGCCCAGGTTAGGCTTTTAAACATGAAGTAAATTAGCAGAAAAATAAGCTTGCGGATGTATTCTAGATGTGTGTAATGTTTTGTTTGTGTGTAGCATACCTTAATGACATTCTGTCTGTTCTTGGAGTTTTTTTGAGAAGTGTAGAGACTGCCCACAAATTACTGTGAAAATATATAATGTCTTGTTTATAATGTGAAAACAGTGTCTTTCCATTCAGTTTCAGTTACAAAATGTCACTGTTTTGTAATGTCTTAATAACCAATAAGGTTAATGAAAACGAAAGTCTTCCCTAGTTAGCTTTGTAATTAGATGGCAGATTCCTTGTGTTGTGGCTCTTCAACCATGTGAAGATAATGAAGGCTCTAGGATACTTTGTAAAAATTGCTAATTGCTCCCCTTCTTTGAAAGTAGAGTACCTTGCTAATGTTATTAGGCTTCAGTGAGACAATTGAAGGATGGGAAGATTTAGAAAAGTTTTTAGTTTCTGGCTAGTCATTGATTTAGCTAAGTATTTATAATCAGTTGTTATTCATTAACAAATTTAAATCTGTTCCCTGTAGAAACTGAATCTAAACCTCAAATTTTTATTATCTAAGTTATAATAATAGGCGGAGTCGATCTGGAACATACAGCTCAAGATCAAGAAGCAGGTCCCGCAGTCACAGTGAAAGCCCTCGAAGACATCATAATCATGGTTCTCCTCACCTTAAGGCCAAGCATGCCAGAGATGATTTAAAAAGTTCAAATAGACATGGTCATAAAAGGAAAAAATCCCGTTCTCGATCTCAGAGCAAGTCTCGGGATCACTCAGATGCTGCCAAGAAACACAGGCATGAAAGGGGACATCATAGGGACAGGCGTGAAAGATCTCGCTCCTTTGAGAGATCCCACAAAGGCAAGCACCATGGTGGCAGTCGCTCAGGACATGGCAGGCACAGACGCTGACTTTCTTCCTCTGAGCCTGCATCACTTCCTGGTTTTTACCTATCTACAATATGATGTATGGACTCAAACCATTAAAAGCAAACTGATTAGGATTTGATTTCTTAAAACCCTCTAGGTCTCTAGAAACACTGAGGACATTTTCTTTTGGAAAGAACTATGTTAAATTTTTTTTGCACATTGAAATGCCCTAGCAGTATCTTAATTGAAAACCATGGTCAGGTTCAATTGTACTTTATTATAGTTGTGTATTGTTTATTGCTATACAAACTGGAGCGTGAATTCTGTAAAAATGTATCTTATTTTTACACAGATAAAAATTGCAGACATTGTTCTATTTAAGCGGTTATTTGTTTAAATGACAGTGAATACTTTCCTAACACTGGTTTGTCTGCATGTGTAAAGATTTTTACAAGGAAATAAAATACAAATCTTGTTTTTCTAAACGGCTTCAAATATCTGCTTTAAATTATTAAAAAGCAAAATTTTACTAGTAAAATGGCTGTACTGATTTCCTGACAAAGCCTATTTTTCTTTTCCTCTGTTGTAGTTTGGAGTTATTAAAGTAATTCTTAGTTAGGTACAAGTAATCCAAGTTAGTTACAAGTAATCCAAGCTGAGGCAGGAGAGTTTAAAGCTTAGGAAGTTTAGTTGAGACCCTGTCTCAGTAAAAAGGCCCAGGAAGTAGCTTAGTGATAGAGGACTTGCCTAGCATGGGCCAAGTATTGTTTTCAATTCCCAATACTCCAAAAAAAGTCTTGTCTGTATTTTGAGCTATTAACAGCCTTCACTACACATGGGGAAAAGCAAGTGAGAGTGGTCCACTAATGTACTATTAAAAATTAACCTTGAAGGCCGGGGATTTAGCTCAGTGGTTTCACTGCCTGCTGCGCAAGGACCCGAGTTTGATCCCCGGTATCAAAAAAAAAGTTAAAAATTGACCTTGAACTAAAACTTTAAAGACAATTTGCACTTGAATGGTACCAGAAGGTAATTTGTTAGGCTTACATTACTATTTCTAAAATAAACTGCTCTGTTAAACTAAAATTGTCAGCGTGACTGCAAGTAAGACCTAATCATTGATCTTTCAACATTTTTTTGTATGATTTAGATACTCAGTGATTTTATCTGGGCTGCAAGAGTTCAATAATCAAGTGAGGTCCCTGAGCCCGCATGGGTGATGCAGGAAAACCTGCAGGAAGAAATGAAAAAACCAGGGCTCATACCCAAGTGAGCCTCTCTCAGGTTACATGCAAAGGTGTTTCCCCCGGCATACTGGAGATAAATTTAGGTATTTAAAAATTTTTGATTATAGTAAGATTAAATTTTCGGGGGGGTTTTTTGCCCACTTTGATTATTTACCTTATCCATTAGACTTGGCTCCAAATGATTTGGTGTTTCAAAATATCAAACATATCCACAGAATTTATTGCCATAAAGTTGCTTAAGAAATGAAAGCTGCAGAGCCTGGGATTTAGCTCAGTGGCACCACACCTGCCTCGCAAGCACAAGGACCTGAGATTGATCCCCAGTACCAAAAAAAAAAAGAAAGCTGCAGAGGATTCCAAAGATGACTTATGAAATTTTCACCTGTGGCAGGCAGTGGGTCTGGAGAAAGGTGTATCTCTACAAAGCAATTTCTTTGAAGGAGTTAAGACTCATTTAGATAGGAGTGTCTGGTGTGCTACTTAAATCAGTTACATTTCTAACTAAAAACTAATGTGCATGCCTATGATCTTTCCACTCTGGAAAGCTGAGGCAGGAGGATCTTAAGTTTGAGACTAGCCTGGGCAATTTAGAGAATTGGTGAGACCTTTTGTCAAAAAACTGACCTAGCTTGAGTTTGTAACTCCTGTTAACTTGAAAGAGGGTAGATAATTCATTAGGACTTATTTCTGTGTTACTTTAACATTCATACATGAACATATACATGTGTTTTAGAAAATGATTTTTGTACTGAACATGGTTTTAGATATATCTGAGCTACAAATTGATACTTCTGACGAACTTAAATTGCTTCTAGAAATTAAACTTTATTTTAGAAGACAGGCTATGAAGGAAGGCATAAGTCACCTGAGTCCCTGTTAGCAAAATAATCGTGGATGCTTAATGTCTAAATTGTTATGTGCCTTATCCTTGCTTACAGAACTGGGTGAGAGTTGTTTTTGAAGAAGGGAAGTTGTGGAGGGTAGACCTGCATGTAGGATGAGATTTGTATGTTAAAAGATGTTTAAGGGCTGGGGATTAAGCTCAGTGGTTTCGTCGCCTGCTGCGCAAGTGGAAGGACCCAAGTTCGATCCTTGGTACCAAAACAAAGATGTTTAAGAGGTGGTTTTGCAGTCTAGACAATTATGTCTTTCAGGGTTCTAATTTTTGTTGTTGCTTAGTCAGTTTTCTAGGGTCTTGTCAAGAGATTCACAGCCTTATGCTATTCTACTTGTTTGCTTTGGGGGTTATTTTGTTAATTTTTAGTTTATCCCATCTCCCCTCAAAGCCCCCTCCCTTCCCTGTGTACAAAAGCTTTATTTCCATTTTTTCTTTCTAGTTTGAGTTTTTGTCTTGTCCCTTTCTCCTTCCAATCTCCTCCCTTGTTCCCCTTCCCTTTTGAACACTTCCCATTTTCCAACATCCTTTTGTTTTTTGAGACTGTGTCTCCATCTGTGCAGTGATCTTGCAGCCTCAATCTCCTAAATGCTGGGGTTAGGGGTGTGCACTACCATGCCTGGGTTCTATCTCTATTTTGAAACATTTACTTAACAGTATTCAGGCTGATATAGCCCAGTGGTAGAGGGCTTGTCTGGCATGCACAAGGCCCTGGGGTTCCATGCCCAGGACCACAAGCAATAATAAAACCCTACATTTTCAAACGTAATAATCTAGGATGTATCAAACAAAATCAAAAGTAATGAATCCATTAATTCACGGTCAGCCGGCCTTCTTTATAACCTATGAGTTTATCACTACTCACTTTTATTTGGAAGAAAATTGCAGACAGATGATTTCATTCCTCATTATTTCAATCCAAAATGTGCGGACTCTTAAAACATAACCACAGTATTTCTGTTACAAAGTCAATAATGCCTTAATACTAGGTATCTAGGTTTACCTATTTCTAATCCTTTGTTTTTATAATTGGTTTATTCAAATTAGGTTCATACTTGCTGTGCTGGCTTTAATCAAAGATTTCTCCATATTTTTTATGTATAATTTATTTGAAGAAACTGGGTCAGATCCAAAGGAATTTTCCATATTCTAGGTTTACATTGTAACCTTATGGTATAACATTTTTCTGTACTGTTTTTCTTATAAACTGACAACTTTTGAGGCTTGTTCAGATTCAGGTTTGAAGACCCTTGATTTTTTCCCCCTTGGTGTTAGAAATTGAACCCAAGTCCTCTCGCATGTTAGGCAAGTCCTCTATTAAAATCTAAGCTACATACCTATGTGGGGCCCACCTCTTTAAAAAATTGGTCTGAAATTCAGAAGTCTGTAAAGAGTCATAGGCTGTGTGTGATTGTAGAAATAGCACTAGGTTTTTGCCTCATTGACATGGTATTACACTGAGTTCCCAATTCTAATTTTTTTGTTGTTGTACTCAGGATTTAACCCAGGATGTTGTTCATACTAGGTAGATAAGCACCCCACCACTGAGCTACATCCTCATCCATTTTTGAGACATAGTCTCACTGAGTTGCCCAGGATGACTTCAAATTTGAAATCTTCCTGCCTCAGCTCTCAAATAGCTGGGATTATAGCTGTGTGCCACCACACCCAACTTTGAATTCCTGATTCTTTTTTAAAAATTTATTTATTTTTATTTATTTATTTTGAGGCAGAGTCTCACTGTGTAGTTTAGGCTGGGCTTGAACTTATACTATATAGCCCAGACTGGCCTTGAATGTGCAGTATCCTCCTGCCTTGAATCCCCAATTCTTAATTTATTGGTGCTTACATCTCAACAGCCTTGGTGTATGTTTCCTGTGTGTGTGTGTGTCTCTTCTGTCTTACCTCCTCCATTTCCCCACTGCAGCCATTAAATCAACTTAATGTAAACAACTTGTCCTAATAATTCCAGTTTGTCATAGAAGTCCTTTCTTGTTATGGAATATTAATCATCTTTTGTAATTTTTATCTTAGCTCTAAAAGACCAGTAACATTCTTAACTACTTTTCCATTTTAAAACTGAACATAAAATGTCTGTAGGTTGAGAACCCCTAGTCTAAAATTTGAAACGATTTAAAAATCTCCCAACTTTTTGAGGACTGATGTAATATTGCAAGTCTGATGGTTCAATGTACACAAATGTCACACACACAAAATTACTAAAAATATATAAAATTGCAGGCTTTGTGTATAATGTACATGAAATACAAATGAATTTCATGTTTAGACTTGGGTCCCAATCCAAAGATGTTTCATTGTGTATATGTACATATTCCAGAATCTAGAAATACTGAAAGTCTTCTGGTTCCAACCATTTCAGTAAGGGATATTCAATCTGTCTCTCTTCACTGAAGTCCTAAGTTTTGCTTTAATACCTTTCTATATTATCAAAAAATCTTTCTTAATTTAAACATTAAGATTTTCTGAAAGTTTCCAAAAGCAAAGTAATTTCATAATATTTATTTGGCCTAAAAATGGTACCTGGGGCCTTATGCATGCTACACAGGCACACAAAACTACATCCCCAGCTCTTTTTTTTCTGAGACAAGGTCTTGCTAAATTGTCCAGGCCTCAAACTTGTAATCCTCCTGCCCCAGCCTCCTATAGTGCTAGGGTCACGGGTGTGTACTACCACGTCAGGCAGTAAAGTTTTTTTAAAAAATACCAGATTTTTAAAAATTTTGGCACCAGGGATTGAATTCAGGACCTTGCGCTTGCAAGGCAGGCGGTGGCACCACTGAGCTAAATACCAGATTTTTAAAAATTAATTTTAAAGCATGGCATACTACAGGGCTTAGTTTAGCTGGAGACAGAGAATGCACACAGTTTGATAAGGAAAACCACTTCCCCCCTTGTGAAAATCGGGAGTGGCGTCATTGTGTGGGCCTTGAACCCCTGTATACCTGCATTTTGGGAGACTGGAAGCCACAGTTTGACATGAACCATCTATGACATGGAAGGAAGGTGAATGAATTTACATACCACTGATTCTGTGACACTTAAACTCTGTTGTCATTCATTCATGCTCTCTTGTCTTTCAAACTTAAGCATTTATTCTTTATCCAGCTGCCTTTCCAAATGTGTATGTTCCTTTTCTAAAGGTAACCATAGGTTCTTGGAGCTCACAGCCTTAGCAGCTGGTGATATCAGACTGATGGGACCTGGGCCAAACCTTGGCCTGCACATGTATTTTTGCTTGGTATGTTTTGTTTTAAATGAACTAGCAGCCAGAAAGTAAATGCCTGTTTAGTTCAGCAGTGAAGCTTGTATGGGAACTAGAATATTGGAGTGGAAACAGTATGGATTATGGAGTCATTTCCTGGGTACAGTGCTTAAGTCAGTACTTACTAGCTGTGTAATCTTTTCTTTTCTTTTTTTTTTTTTTGGTACTGGGGATCGAACTCGGGACCTTATGCTTGAGAAGCAGGCGACGGAATCACTGAGCTAAATCCCCGGCCCATCTGTGTAATCTTTACACTTAGTCATTCTAAAGGTTAGCAATTGAACCTACTATATTCAGGTATTATGAGAATTAAAGGAAATGTGTATAATGCACTCTACAGTGTTAGGTGTGAGGTTCATTGAATTTTACCAGAATTACTAACATCATTAGAGGTTTGGATACCAGCTGAAGGTGTTACTGTTTTAAGCAGGTAGGAGGTTATATTAGTTTTCTGTGGCTGCTGCCTAGCAAACTACCACAAACTTAGTAGCATAAAGCAACAAATATTCTCTGACAGCTCTGGAGTCTTGGAAGTCTGAAATCAAGGTGATAGCAAAACGATGCTCTTTCTGAAAGCTCCTTAACTTATTGTGGTGGTTTCTGGAAATCATGATGTTCTTTGACTTGTAGCTACATCATCCATTTTTGCCCATCTTCACATGGTCTTGTAAGGATTTCAGGGTCTGGCACAGTGGTGATGAACCTATGGCACAAGTGTTACCGTGTTTTTCTTTTAAGACAAAAAATGTTAACTAACGGTAGAGTTTTTTCTAAACTAAGACCTCAGTACTGTATTTGGGTTTAATTGCAGTGTTGGCACTTTGTGCTAATAAGTGGGTTTTGGGTTGGAGTTTGGCCCTCAGTTTGCCATCACTGGTCTAGCCTAATCCAATAGGATCTTGTAC